CCGGGGCACGAACCCGTGTCCCCTGCATCGGCAGGCGGACTCTCAACCGCTGCGCCACCAGGGAAGCCCCTAAGCAAACATTTTGAGTGCAGTTTTTCCTTCGATAATCTTCGATAATGAAGTTGCATTGCATGGCTTCCACAAAACATAGATCCTCTCCATATTGGTGAAATACAATGCTGGAAAAATCCACAAAGAGTAATTTAGAAATTATGAAGCATCAGGACTTTCCTGGTGGCACAATGGTTAAGAATCCGCCTGCCAATGCAGGGGACCCGGGTTCGAGCCCTGGTCTGGGAAGATCCTACATGACACAGAGCAACTAAGCCCATGTGCCACTACTACTGAGCCTGCGTGCCACAACTACTGAAGCCTGTGAGCCCAGGCCCGTGCTCTGCAACAAGAGAAGCCACCGCAATGAGAAGCCTGTGCACCACAATGAAGGGTAGCCCCTGCTCACCACAACTAGAGAAAGCCCCTGCGCAGCAACAAAGACCCAATGCAGCCAAAAATAAATAAATTTATTAAAAAAAAAAAAGGAAAGAAATTATGAAGCATCAATGGTGTGTGATGTATAAATATAATTCAGTATCCAAGACCCTAAGAGAAACAGGAAAGAAACCGAAGCTCTGCAACATTGTCTTAAATTTGCTTTAATCTCATCCAGAAACTGTTAAGCCTTTTGAACATTACCTTTCTGTTTTTTTAAAGTGAACCTCTCAGAGCTTCAGCCCAGAAGTTCAATCATGGTTATATTACCTGATTCCTCTTTGCAAATAAAAGATTCTGGCAGCAGCTGCAGTCTTTTCACACTTCTAATCTCACTGTTGATTTTTAGCGTAGCTGTAAATAAGCAAAAGAAAGATGATGAAAAAGTTTTGCCATTTCATCAACTGCCTTCACTTTTTAGTATGGACTTGCATTCCCTTGCCCCCATATATAGGAAAGACACATTATACAAACAAACTGCCCTATGCTTATTTCCTTCCCTCACAGCAAAGTCCAAAGTGCAAACCTGCATCACATTAAGTAAAATCACTCTAAAACACTTTTAAAAACTACAGTAAGCACCTTTATATGAAACCCACTAAGTCTTACCAACAGCAGCTTATTAATAATTGAAAGATATGCAACAAGGTTAATAGGAGACAGTTAAACACAATACAATCATTATTTCTAATGAGGTCACTAAAAACTCCATTTATTTTTTATTTAACCCTTGGCAGTGAGTCTTCTCTTATTTATTAAAAGAATCCTGCTAGTTTTCACAGTATCATCTCTCTCTAAACTCAGAGGATCAATATTCTTGACATCACCAGAGGGTTCATTTTTAATCCTACATGCAAAGGCGCACTTCATCTCATTCCATGAAAGAGCCAGTGATGTGCTCGTGCACATGTGCACTGAGCAGGATGTCTCGGGTGAAGCAAAGATTTAAGGACATACTGCTCCTTTTCAAAGAACCAGGCCTGGAATGGTTCTGGAATGGCTGTCTGCCACTTAATCCACAAGTAGATGATTTGCCAAGAATTATTAAAGGAACAAAGCATCAGAAACTAAGACATTTAGTAGCTATTCTCTATGTTAAGTATCTTAAGACTAGTAAATAAAGGTTAATATACACGTGTCGTTAAAGTGATTTATAAGAAATTGAGGGAAAAATTACAACCTCCCATTTACTATTTGATAGCTGCAACCTTGCAAGTTATGATGTGATGTAGCAGTATGATTAGATACTGCTGGCCCTCTTTGTATAAGAATGCCCAGCCAAAAGTCACATTTGCTAACTGTGATGAACTGTTGAAGAGACATTGCTAGGTCCTAGTGCCACCAGTCACGTCCTACAAATGTGAAATACCACTAAAGCTGAAAATTTGAGACTTTTAAATAACATTTCAAAGAATCTAGTGATTTAAAAGAAATTACATAAAGGGAACCTAAAACTATCTTTTAGTTCAAAGATCACAGTGTTAAGTCAGTGGCTTTCAAATAGATTTTAGCAGAAAAAGCTTTTCCCAACAAAACCTTACAAGGGACCTCACTAAATGAAACAGGCACACGTGCTGCTGCTCAAGGTTCAAGTAGCGACAGTGGCTCTACCAAGCCACCTCCCTGCTCCCATCTCAGCAGAAACTAGCAGCTGCAGAACATGTTGAAAACCACTGAGCTAAGACATATCAAGGCAACTGTCTCTGCTGTATAAAAGATGAGCTGTAATGAAAAATAAAAAATGCAGTCATTCCAATCTTATCATACTCTCTTACTTAGCTAAAAGGGTAAACCTCAAAAATCAAACCAGAACAAAAACAAAAGAGTCTAGTCACTCAAATGGATCTCCAGGATGTGTGATTATGAGACTTCCATAGACCCCTGGTAGCTGGTATAGATCTGTGGATGGCATCTGAGCTAAAATGAAATACAAAAATAGAATGTATTGCTATCCAGTGAAATTTCTTAGTATGAAAGAGGAGAACTAGAAAAAGAAACTCTATTCAGAGTGACTTACTTGAGGGTGGGTAGTAGGGGGATAAAACACACACATACTGAGGCCTCAGAACCCTTAGCGGTACTTCTATGCATTCAGAGATGCCAAACTAGATAAAAAATGACCTCAGCTCAACCTCACCTTTCACCATCTCTCAGTTCAAGACCTTGGTTAGTAAAACAAAAATTAAAAAGTCATCCACAGGCATAAATAAAAAGTATTCTTTAAAGAGTTCATATGTAATAGACTCATTTTACTCCTAGTATCACAACTCCCCCTGGAGCAAAAAAATTACACAGTTAAGACAGCAAAAGAGTATAGCTGCCTCTAGAGTGAAGGCTGCTAGCATAAACATCAGCCCTGTACTCTATAACCTTTCAGACCCATGTTATCAGTGGGCTCGGGATTAAACAAAGTTGAGAAAGACTCCTAACTGCATCATGATAGCCCATCACCGAAGTGGCTATAAAATTTCTGGAGAGAAACATGTAAAGATTCACAAACTAACAAGCATGACTATGCCATCCAATTACCATTTATGACGATGAGGTTTCCCAAAGGCACACAGGTGAGAGCAGCAGAGCCACCCTCGCAGAGAGGATGCATGTACTGCAGCTTATACACGCCCCCCGACCTCCAGTTCTCCGGCATGGACACAGCTTTGGCTTCAGTTCCCTGGGGAGTGAAATGAAAGGGAAACAAATAATGAAGAACCGTATTACTCTCAGAAAGATTAAAAACCCAAGAGGCTCCTAACTTGTCTACAAATAAGCATTCCATACAGTCCCTTTAATAAAATTTATCAAATCATTAATATTTCTATTAATATTTAAAACTTCGATAGAAAAAAAGTTACAATATATTATCTGCCATCAAAACTTTTGTTCAAATAGATAAAATAACGTCAGAGATAGAGACTGATTTCTCACTTCAAAGTCTCACTTCTCTGCCTAGCAAAGCCGTATCATTATGCAAGATCCCAGTTCAAATACCACTTCCTCTGTGAAGCCTTTTTCAAAACAAATCCTTTTTGTCATTCCCACTCTCTCACCCTCTAACATTCTGTTCATATTTCTATTGTTATATACTTCTATTATGTTATTAATTGTATTATAATACGTTATAATTCCCTTTTTGTTTCTCTCCCCCACTTACAGACTCCTTGAGGATAAGGACTGTCCCAATATCTTTATATTCTAATTCCTGGCATGACATGGTGCACATGTTCAATGATCACTGAATTAGTCTATACACTTGTTACTCATAACATGGCCCACAGACCAGCAGCATTGCTATCATGTAGAGTATGCTCACATAATATCTCAGGCTCCACCCTAGATTTATGAAATCAGAAATCTGCATTTAATAAGATCCCTAGGTATTCTTAAGCACATTAAAATTTGAAAAACTTCTAAATGTTCTCCTCTGTGAATCTCTGGCATCCTATATATGTATGTGTTTCTCCTACAATTTAGCCAATACAGTATAACGGTCTGTATACTTGTCTCTCTCTCCTACTCTTGGACTGTAAGCAAGCTGAAAGCAGAGACAAGGCACTGCACCTGACACTGGCAGACATTTATCAAATGGATAAAGAATGAATGAATGAAGGTAAAGCAACTACAGCATAAGAACAACATCCCTCTTCCTAACTGAATCTTACTAAGTTAGTGGCAATTCACAGAACCACTAACATAAAAAATAACCTGGTGAGCCATCTATCTAGTCATGCCCAATCCACACGCACTGACAACATTTTGCCTACATACGATCACATATAAACTTTTGGGTTTTTTTTAAACCATAGTTGCCATCAATTCTATAATACTAACTAAAAGCTGACAAGGAAATAAAGGAGAAAAAAAGAAGGAAAAGAGGGAAGGGAACATTTACTGACTCCCTACTGTATGTTCATCGCTGTGCTCGACACTTTACATTAATACCCAAACACATTTAATAAAGAAATCTAGAACACCACCCCTTTTCTAATGGGAAACTTTTGCTCTCTGTAGTCTTACCTGAGGTATGTAACCCGACTCCAACATGAGAAGATGTATGGATACTATCAGGGCATCACTGGGGTTAGAACAGTCAGCTGACTGATACAGGGTCTCTAATGAATGTGGCACTTGCCCTTCCACCGATTCGCTGCAGAGCATTGGTTCTGAGGGAAAGAAACCTGTGCCCTCTTCCGCATCCACGACATCTGGAATTGACTCAGCTTCAAAATTGTGACTAGGCCCTGACTGAAAAGGATAACAAAAACAACGAATTCTTTAAATAGACTTTTATCTTTTCACAGTAAATTTTGTATTCAAAGTGAACTGAGATTAGCGCTCAGAGGTTCAGAAATGGTACACATTTTCAGCAAGCCCTCCTCAACAAATGAGCCTGCAATCTGCTCCTCCATCCTGAATTCCTTATCTCCATTAATTCTGGCTGATATGCCAAACACCTGGAAATCATCCTAGACTTCCCCCTCGACCTTATTAAGCGCCACTCTCAATATGATTAGTTGTCAAAGGTCCACTGACTCTCTCTCCTAAATATCTCCAAAATCTGCCCCTTCCTACTCCAGTGGTACTTCAGACTCATTTATCTCCTAACCTCCAGCAACAGCCTCCCCAAGTATGCCTTCACTCCTCTTTCTTGTCTTCCAATACATTCCACCCACTGCTGCCAGAGTTCTTTGACAATTGAGAATCCAATTATGTCCCATGTCCCAGCTTAAACTTGCCAGTACTTCCCCTATGCAGACAGCAGCACTGCCCTAAATTGTGCCTTGGAATGTGACCCTAAGTGTTCTTAGGGAAAAAGAGGTCTACGATCAAATAAGTATGGAAATGTTACATGACACAGCCACCTAACCTCACCCTCCATATTCACAAAATACACTTTGGCATTATAAAGCTCTGAGAAGTCCAATAATAACAGAAAGTGTGCATAACATTTAACCAAGAAACACTATCTTCCTTCCTTAACACTCAGCATCCCCATAACACTTATAATCTCACAGGTTTTCCATAGAGGCCATGCTGAGAAATGCAGGCTTACAAAATAAAGTCCAAACTCCTAAACTCCTTAGCATAACCTTCATCACCTGATCCCTGACTCTGTATCAAGTTCACATTCCACAGTCCCTTCCTCCCATTCTGGTATTCCCCACCTCTGCAGGTTATAGACTACCTCTCTGCCTTGCAAAGGCCTTGATTATTGCACTTTATCACACTGTATTGCAACTTTCTGATTACATGTCTATATCCTACCATGACCACAGGCTTAGAACGGAACAGACTACATGTCACCCATTTTTGTTAACACCCGTACAATACCTGGCACACAGTAGGTACTCAGTAAATGCTTGTTGAACAAATGCTGAAGGATAATATCTTACAATTCTTACAATTTCATGTTTTTGATTTCATTGTTTTCTAATTTACACCACACAAAAATTCTGTAAAATAGGTAAGACAGATGACATCACCGTTTTATACGTACTGTAATTTTGATTCAGATTAAATAACATCATCAAGGTTACCAGCTAATAAAAATGTGAAATAAACAAAGATCTCCAGACTCACAGTTCAGGGCTTTTAGACACAATACACTGCTTCAGTAAGACTGAGTTACCTATATTAATTTTGCTCAGAAAGACTATTTCCTAGATATGTGCTCAACTCTTAATGCAAAGCACATGTTTCTTTTAAGTTCGTATTTCCAATAGGAAAGGAACAGAGGAAATTAAAATTACATAATATGAGTGAAACGGTGGAAGAGTGTAAGGGAACAAGAGGTTGTTTCTTTCAAAATCCCTGAGGACCTGAGCCCTGATGGCTTATGGAAAAGATCCAAATTCATTTGTTAAAACCTAGAGGTTGATGACAATCCATATTACCTAAAAACGACGCTCCATCATATTTTTGAGAAAGGAGAAACTACTTATTAAAACCACTTAACACCTAACTAAATTATGAATTACAGGCACACCTGGAGATATTGCAGGTTGGGTTCCAGACCACTGCAATAAAGTGAATATATCACAATAAAGCAGGTCACACAACTTTTTTGGTTTCCCAATGCATATAAAAGTTATGTTTACACTATACCGTAGTTATTAAGTATGCAATAGCATTATGTCTAAACAATGTACATACCTTAATTTAAAAATACTTTTTTGCTAAAAAATGCTAACCATCACGTGAGCCTTCAGTGAGTCGTAACCTTTTTGCAAGAGTAACATCAAAGATCACTGATCACAGATCATAACAAACATCATAATAACAAAAAATTTTGAACTACTGTGAGAATTACCAAAATGTGACACAGAGACAGAAGTGAGCAAATGCTATTGGAAAAATGGCGCCAATAGACTTGCTCAACGCCGGGTTGCCACAAACCTTCAGTTTGTAAAAAACACAGTATCTGCAAAGCACATTAAAACTAAGTGCAATAAAATGAGGTATGCCTGTATATATGCTCTTTGCTTCTTATACCTAACTTTTGGCCATTTACTACTTACTGACACTCGTATGGGAGAGAATATATGTGGGAAAAATATTTTAAAAGGTTACCCCAGACTGATAACGACATGGCAGGAAGATATCAGAATCCCCTGGTGAGCTTATCAAACTCTACTCTCACTCCATGAGAACCACTGACGTTCTCTGAGCCATCCTGATATAAGTACTTATCATATTCTTCATGCATGTGGAGATGAGAAAAAAATGTTTAGCACCACCTCTCTAAATAGATCATTTGTCATATGTCATTCACAAATGAGTGGAACAAGTATGGAACAGGACCCTAATATTAGGGTCTGATACTTTTTAGCTTATTGGTAAATTATAAAAATCATCTATGTCCCCACTAAGATTTTACAGTCACCCTATACAAGTCGTAGAATACAAAACAGCACGCTTTTAGAATTGAAATTACTAACATGAGGCAATATTAATGTCTCAAAATTTTCCAAAAGGAAACTAGTAAAGTAACCATCATATACACTATGAAAAGTAAAGAGAATGGATCCTTCTACCAGAATCTCTGATGAGTCTATCATCAAAAAAGATTCAGAAATGTAATTTAAATATCTGATTAAATATTCTTACTCATTCTCTAGATTACTTCTATGAGACAGAATCTCAGAGATACATAATAATTTCTGAAAAGAAAATTCATAAAAATACTTTGAGCTTTATAAAAGCTTTTTTAACTTACTTAATCTCTCTGGATACTATTACTAAAAATCTAGACATGGATGATTTTTATAATTTACCAATCAACTAAAAAGTATTTTTTAATATCTGTCTATACTTGATGACATATAGGCACAATGAATACTTATAAATATTTAAAGCCTGCAAAAAAAAAAATTAAGTTGACATGATGAGTGTACACACACAAAACAATTAACAAGATGGCATATGTACTGGTATTAAAATATCAAGTAATAAAGTGATCATTTGTGCCATACAAGAAATCAAAAGGCAGAATAGTAAATAATGAGGTGTTTACAAGGCAATAAAGATGATCAATACAAAGGAATTGAAGAAAACTACTGGGCTGCCGTTGGCAGGGCCTTGGAAGGTGGGTAGAGATGCGGACAGGAGAGAGAGGACAGGGAGGGGGTTCCACGCCGGGCGAGCAGCAAGAGCAGAGAGTGAAGCAGTCGCTAGGCCGTGTGTGTGTGTGTGTGTGTGTGTGCGCGCGCGCGCAGATGTGAGCATGTGCAGGTGTGCACGTGCGCAGGTGCTTGCTGCGAGAGGGACCATGAGGAGGAGGAGGAGGGGTCCAGTCTGACTGCAGATGGCAGTTGACAGGAGGGAGGAACGGAAACTAGCCCCCAAAGGTTGTTGGGCAACTGCTCAGAAAGCCTTAAAAACTAGGCACAGGAGGACAGACAACATTTTCCTCGTCTGCGACATGAGAGGGTTGAACTAGAGATATTTGGACTTTTTCAGTTCAAAAATTATGAGCCCAGGTGTACCTATGACACAGAATTACCTAAAAGCAGGGGAACAACATAATCAAAAATGTGCAGGAAGGGGCTTCCCTGGTGGCGCAGTGGTTAAGAAACCTCCTGCTAATGCAAGGGACACGCATTCGAGCCCTGGTCCGGGAAGATCCCACATGCCGCGGAGCAACTAAGCCCACGCGCCGCAACTACTGAGCCTGCACTCTAGAGCCCGCGAGCCACAACTACTGAAGCCCACACGCCTAGAGCCCGTGCTCCGTAACAAGAGGAGCCGCCGCAGTGAGAAGCACGTGCACCACAACGAAGAGTAGCCCCCGCTCGCGGCAACTAGAGAAAGCCCGCACGCAGCAACGGAGACCCAATGCAGCCAAAAATAAATCAATAAAATAAATTTATTTTTTAAAAAAATGTGCAAGAAGAAGATGAACCCAGAAAGCAGACTGAAGAACACACACTGGAAGCCTGGAATGGAAAGGAAAAACAGGCAGGGCTTGTTAAGGGACTGGATGTAAGGAGTCAAAAATCATTCCACAGTTTTAAGCTCAGGAAAACAGTACTGCCACTGACAGAGGAGGAGCTGATTTGGGAAGAAAACATCAGTGCACATATTTTCAAATTTACATCAGCATCTAGAGTCTGAGGTGACAATTTTTTTAATTTTAAAAACTTAAAATACACACACACAGGGCTTCCCTGGTGGCGCAGTGCTTGAGAGTCCGCCTGCCGATGCAGGAGACGCGGGTTCGTGCCCCGTTTCGGGAAGATCCCACATGCCGCGGAGCGGCTGGGCCCGTGAGCCATGGCCGTTGAGCCTGCGCGTCCGGAGCCTGTGCTCCGCAAATGGGAGAGGCCACAACAGTGAGAGGCCCGCATAACGCAAGGAAAAAAAAAAAAAAAAAAAAAAAAAAAAAAAAAAAAAAATACACACACACAGGAATATTACTCAGCCATAAAAAATGAATTAAATCCTGCCATTTGCAACAACATAGATGGACCTAGAAGGTAGGATGCTTAGTGAAATAAGTCAGAGAGAGAAACACAAATACTCTATGTTATCACTTATAGGTAGAATCTAAAAAATAAAACGAATGCATACAAAACAGAAACAGACTCACAGATATAGGCAACAAACTAGTGGTTATCAGTGGGGAAGGGGCAAGATAGGGATATGGAATTAAGAGATACAAACTACTGTGTATAAAATAAATAAGCAACAAGGATATATTGTAGAGCACAGGGAAGTACAGCCATTATTTTGTAATAACTTTAAATGGAGTACAATCTATTAAAAAATTGAATCACCACATTGTACACCTGAAACTAATATAATATTGTAAACCAACTATACGTCAATAAAAATAAAGTAATTAAAATAAAAATAAATTTTCTACAAGATTATAATCTGCAGTCTACTGATGATAATTATCCTGACTGGTATAGAATTCAATTGAGCTATTCAGTATGATTTATCAACTACTCTGTTTCTTGTCTTGATTTTAATACCCACCATACTTCCATCATTCCAGACATCAGATTGGGCTGCCTGTCCTTGGAATGAATCACGCAGTTGTTCATCCTGTATGCTGGACTGACTGGAGCTGGCAGCCAAAGAGGGTTGGTCATTATTCTGGAGTGAGGAATGCTCTGAATCTGTGGATGAAGGTAAGTTAGGTGCTGCAATGGCATCTTCAAGAATCAAACATATCAAGTCCCCAGAAACAATGCCATATGAAGCCAAGGTCTCTTCATCTCCAGTGAGGGCATCCTCGTTGTTCAATGTAATTGCAAACCGGGTATCAGAACTGCCAAGAAAGACGGATAAGGATAGTAAGAGCTACCTATTACCATTACCCACAATAATACATTTGAAACATATATAAGGTACATGGTATATGACCCCAGCAGAACTAATGAAAACAAAACGAAGATAAGAGGAAAGCCAAAGCTTGGAAAAAGTATCAAAATTATTTATTCTTATCACCAAATGCTTAGGTTATAGATTCTAGCCTGGGGGATAGGATCAGTAATTCTCTATCATTAATCCATGTTTTCATCAATTCTAAGATACACACTTTTCTATACTTTGTCATCTTTGAAACAGGATGCTTCTTACAATCGATGACATATCACAACCTAATGGACAGCATTTTTTCACTCAGTGTGACCTAAGAATGTGCATCTCAGGATTGACAGCAAATGAGATTCAATGAAATATAGCCTCTTTAAAATATAAATTATATTACATCATTCCTCTGCTGAGAATTCTCCAATGGCTTCTATTTGACCTTGGAATAGAATCCTTAACATGCCCTCCAAAGCCCAACATCTGACCCACTTCTACCTCACCCATCCTCTTACTAGCTGTTCTCCATTCGACTCATTCCTAAAAACAGATCAACCTCACTGCAGCCTTTGGGCCTCTGCATCTGCTCCTCCCGTTCTTCAAATGACTTGAGTCTTTCTCATCATCCAGGTCTCAACCCAAATGTCACCTCTTCAGAGATGCCTTCCACCTACCTCCATCACTCTATTTCATTCATCTGTTTTATTTTTATTACAACATTGCTATTTGAAAATATCATATTTATTTGCTTATCCGCCCTCTTCCCCACCCCTACGACTAGGATTTAAGTTTCATGAGATGGGTACCTTGTCTGTCTAGTTCAAAACTGTATCTCCAGCACTTGGCAAATAGAAGTATTTGTGGAATGGATGCAACCAATAAACATTAGATGGAGAGATCAAGATGAGGCTGAAATCAGGGCTAATTAACAATATCCTTCCAGGGCAGTTAGCTTATGGTTCCAAAATACTAGACCCATGTCCTAAACAAATATTCATAACCACAAAAAGTCAGATGAGTGCATGTAGATGACTGAGTATAAATTCATCCCTCCTACTGATAAGTTCAACCTTCTTACTGAGCACCAGTTATGTCTTTTATATGAAAGACAACACAAATCCAAAAATCCAGTGCTAAACAAGCTAAGAGCTCAAATTAGTCTGAAGCAAGGAACTCCCATCCTTTCTGCATAGCAGATTATCTGACCTTGAGAGAACAATCATCATTTCATTACATAGTGGTGAGGAAAAATTAACAAACCACTGCAGAACATTTTATAAGACATTTACACTCAGCAATGTTAACTTCAATAACTTTTTGAGAGATTAACAAAGGACGAAGTCCTTTGAAAATCATGTTGTTTATTTGTTCTTAAAATGCTACATTTTCAAAAGTGCTCCCCATAATTCATTTATGTTTTTTCTTGCACATATAAATACATTTTTTCTTACCAATTAAAGTGTCTTTGGTAGAGAAATTACTGAAGCTTTAAGAGCTACTCCTGCTTATTAGAAAATAAGCAGCTATGCCTCTGTTTTCAAATGTGTTGATAAATGTTGAAAATCTGCCAACTACCCAGAAAAACAACATCCCATTTTTAGCAGAAAAAAAACACCTCAAATGAACTATGTTGTTATGGATCATTTGTCACAGCACAAGGTTGTTTTTTTAATGTTATCTAGCACAATGTTCATTCAAATATCGATTTGTAAAAAAGGTAAAGAATTGTCTGCTTAATAAAATGTCAGCCTCCCCTTTAGAGAAAGGGAAGAGCTATTTCTAGAGTAATATATGGTTCTCCAGGAGAGTCGTTATTGATCCTGTTTTCTGAAACTGTGAAAAAATATTTGCATCAGGAAGTGCCACCCTAGAAACTCCAGGCCTTTGAGAATTATTTTATGACAATCCCGGATCCACTTGCTCAGCAAGGACACTTTAAAAGTAATAATATCATATGGACACATGTTTAAACTGCCCATTTATTATAAAATGAACATACTTTCAGAAGAATGAATTTACTTTCACAAGCTGAAGCTTAACATTTCTTCCAGTTAACCAGCCTCGACTGTAAAAACAAACCTGAAAGCGAAACTAACTTGGGCTCTTGGGTAAACAAAGCATCATATTGCTGTTTCACATCCATTCCAGAGTGTCCTACCTAATTAAAAAATAATAAAATGTATATACATATATATGAAAATACTTTAAAAAGAGAAGTTTATTTTGACAATTTGTGGTGTGGTAATGATGCCAGCATACAAAACACTTAGGTTTAACACCAAGAAAAAAACAACAGGCATGTCAATTAATATAATGCCTAAAAGGAGTTATGTCAATGCCTCATTTTCTGTATTTATGTTTTTAATTTGGAGAAAAAAAGGCTTACTTTGAGTGCAGTATTGTCTTAACCTGAAAAATGAAAGGGTGAGACGTTCATAATACAGCCTCATTTTACTGAATTCCCTAAAAATAAAATGTAAGTTTATAAAAGTCTTATGAAAGGAACCATTTAATTAACAGAAAGGTTTTCTTTTGAAGAATTCATCTAAAAAGCCCCAAAGAACATCTTTTTTATTTTTTCTCAGCACACTCAAATTTCAAATTCGGTAGCTCAGTATTTGAAGAGGACCACCCTTACGTTTGTCCCTCTACTCCCAGATTACTGTCCCCAGGATACCCTTTTGGAAACAAAGCAGCCTCATCTGCAGCCCCATAAATAACAGAATTTGATCCATTACTTCTCAATGTCACTGCCCCCAAACTGCAAGCTCTCCAGGGTCATCATAAGGCCAACGTTTTCCATAGTTTTCATCCAAAAAAAAACAACAACAACATCTTGCCCAGGAAAATATTATTATTTGAAACAGACCGACACACTGCACTTTGTAAAACTGCAGCTGGGAAGTCAAAGTGCCCACAGCGGCTCCTGGCACGTAAACACTTAACGGAGTCTTAAGGTGACTGCAGCCTGAAAGCAGCGGTACCAGGTTACAGGTGGCCTCGGATGGAGGGCAGGTTTCTAACTCCTAGTACTTTCCAAACTTTTTCACTGAAATACTCCGACAGCTGGAGATGGTGAACTTAAACCCCTGAGAGCTTCGAAAGGTTTAACCCAAGCCAAACCCATAATTTCCAACCTTACATTTCAGAGGACGTGAGAATTTTGCATCCTAGCCTATCCCTAGGTTCGTTTACTGCAAACACGGAAGCGAAGGCTCACCCTGGAGGGGATCGGAGCCCCCGAGACGCCGGGCCATGACCTCTGGGAGCCGGGACCCCACACGCTGCAGCCCCAGCGCCCGCTAGCCGCCCGGCCTGCGCGTCACAGTGCAGGACCGCTGGCCCCGCGACGCCCAGCTCGCCCCCGGCCTCACGTGACAGCTCGGGGCGTGCCCGCGCCACCCGGCGCTCCTCCCCGACCCGCCGCGCGCGCCCCCGCCTCTCGCGTACCTGTACCCCCAGGTGGGCAGCAGGGCCTGCCTCAGGTGCGCGCGCAGCTGCCCCAGCGTTGGCTCCGCTTGGGGCATCTCCAGCGGCCAGGTCCGCTTCTGAAGCCGGACCCGCAGCTTCATGGCGGCCGCAGGAGGGCCCAGGGGCCGGGACCCCGAGGCGGCGACGGTGACGACGGCGCAGCCGGTCAGCTCCCGCCTCAAGCGGCGGCGGCCCCGGAGCGGCGACTGCCGGAGCTATGGGGATGCTGAGGTGTAACGGCGTGAAGGCCCCGCCAGGCTGATCTCTGGAACATGAGTGCCCCACCCCCTCTCTTGAGGGCGCCCCCTGGAGCCCACCCCGCGAGCAGGCTGCTGGTGGCCTGCGTGGAGCCTGGCCGCTCGGGAACTCGCGATCGATGACTCGGCGCGCGACAGCGCCCCCTGGGAGCCCTAGGAGCACACTGCGCAGGCGCCCAGACTGCAGCAAGGCGCGGGTATCGGGGCTCTTCTGCTTTGTCGCTGTGTCACCTCTTTCCAGTTGTGCCTGGAGAACGTTAACGCTGAAAGGGATGCTACAGGCAAAACTACTCGCCACTCCGCAAGGCCCAGGTGTACCTGGTTCTTACCCCATTTCCTCCGTGGTGTCCGGCTCCAGCGCCGTACGCTCTGAGAAATCTTAGGTTGAGCCCAGGCTCTGGTAGTTTCTCCCCTTACAGCAAAACTAAAGCAGCTTGTAGTCAGTGATCTGTCGCTACATAACAATCACCCCAAAGCTTAACAGCTTAAGACAACAAACATTTATTGTCCCACAGATTGTACAGTGCAGGAGTTTGGGCTTGGCTTGGCTGTTTGGTTCTGTCGTGGTCTCTCATGAGATTACAGTCAAGGTGTAGGTCAGGGCTGGACTATCTCAATCACATGACTGTTGGCGGAGGCCTCGGCTTTTCACTGCATGGACGTCCCCATCGGGCTACTTGGGTGTCCCAGTGACATCCTCACTTCCCGCAAAGCCGGTGATCCCAGAGAGACCAAGGCAGAAGCCACAATGTCTTCTTTAATGATCTCATCTCAGTAGTCACACACCATCACTTCACTCATTCTATTGATCACAATCCAAGCCTTCAGTGTGGGAGAATCAACACAAAGGGCTGAGTACCAAGAGACAGGGATCATTGGGGGCCATCTGGGAGTCTGGCTACCACAGAAGGCATGGCAATAATGATGAGGATGATGACTTAGGTGAGGAAGAAAGTATCATCAAGTTTCATCTTTGTATGATGACCATTTTCCAAATCATAAGAGTTGAATAAAGTTTCTCCCAATAGGTGGCAGTGCTTTTCCACACTGACCTTCATTCATTAAATGAGTATGTATTGATCACCTGCTTTGTGCCAGATATTGTCCTAGGTGCTGAGAAGACACGTGCCTACCCGTGCAGAGCTTACAGGTAAGTGAATCACCTCTTGTGTTAGAGCATAAAAAGTATCTTGTTTATGATAGAGATGAGAACAGCCCTGGGGACTGGGGTACATAGAGAAGGGTTGCTGTGCCAGGAGGGTTCTTGAGTGGCAAAGCAATATGGAATTGAGGAAGGGTGACAGGACCAGGGTGGCTCAACATGGACAGGGTGGGTATATCCCAGATAAAGAAGAGCCTCGAGCTAAGCAGAGGATTTGGGACACATTCTAGAATGTATGGGAAGCCACTGAAGAGTTTTAAGCAGGGGAGGCTTTATCAATCAGGGTTCTTGGTTCTGAGCAATAGAGGCTGACCCTGACTAAGCAGAAAAACAACATATTAAAAGGATACTGGATAGCTCGGGGATTCTGGGGAAGTGACTCCAAGTTAAGCTTCCAGGAATGACGCTCAGAACCACGCTGAAGAACTGGCCTGATGAGGAAACTCTCATGACTGGGATTGCTGCTGCCGCCCTACCCCACCCTGGAGGAAGCTGCTGTCACCGCTTGCCAGGAACCGCTGAGGAATGGCGGCCACCTTCAAATGCCACATGTTTTTACACCAGCAAAATGCCAAGCTTCCAAAAGAGCCTGTTTCCTTACCTTGCTCACTTCTAAATCAAAGGCTCATGGGCTGCATCTGATTGAGGGAAGAAACTGAGACCTGGCTGCAAAGGAGGCTGGAATTTCGGGTCTGAACTCTTTCCTTGAAGAAGTGAGACTTATAATAGTCGGATTTCCCCAAATGTAGGAAGGCTGTACAAAAGATGATGGGAGGCCGTGAGTCTGACAGGTGTGTACCACAAGGGGCATGGGTCAGATCTGAAGTGTGAATCTATCCCTGGGAGATGTATTAAGTCAGGATTTCTCAACCTCAGCACTGTTGACATTTGGGCCTCACAAGTCTTTGCTGTGGAGAACTGTTCTGTGCCTTGTAGGATATTCAGCGCCATCCCCGATGTCTATCAGCAAAAAGCCAGTATAACCACACCTTTGGTTGTGAGAACCAAAGATGTCTGCAGACTTTGCCAAATATCCCCTATCCCCTAGGAGGAGAATTGCCTTGAAAACCATTAGACCAGAGACCAGCCCAGTTAGGAGACTCTCTTGGTAACTGAGAGAAGAAGGAACCGGTGGCATGACAGTGGGAATGGAGGCAATGGGATGGGCAGGGAAGATGTTTCAGTGACAGAAATCACAGAACCTGGAAAATGGCTATATTTGGAGGCTGTGTCAGGATATAGCTTTAGCTACTCGAACAGAGATCTGAAATAACAGTGACCTAAGTAAGATATAAGTTTATTTCTCTCAGAAATAATATTCTTGGAGGAAGTAGGGCAAGGCTAACATGTGTCCATCTTCAGAGACCATCCCACAGTCTACCTCTTACTACTACATAAACCTGTAAAAATGAAATAGGAAAAACTAATATTATCAGGCGAGTATTCTGTAAAGATTCAGTGAGATAACGCCTTTTGGGTTTTGTTCTAAACTACTAAGCCTGTGGTAATTTGTTAGGACAACAATAGAAAACTAATCCACCTGGGATCTTCATCTCAATCCTTTGCCCAATAGAGTGTAACCACTGGGATGGAGGAAGCAATCCAACCACAGGAGTGAAGGAGGGTCCTGGAAGAGAACCAGAGCATCTCCAAGGCACAGCCAAGATTTAAGGTACTCTGGAGGACAATCCTTCAAAACCTCAAAGGTGGGCTTCCCTGATGGCGCAGTGGTTGAGAGTCCGCCTGCCGATGCAGGGGACACGGGTTCGTGCCCCGGTCCGGGAAGATCCCACATGCCGCGGAGCAGCTGGGCCCATGAGCCATGGCCGCTGAGCCTGCGTGTCCGGAGCCTGTGCTCCGCAACGGGAGAGGCCACAACAGTGAGAGGCCCGCATACTGCAAAAAAAAACAAAAAACAAAAAACCTCAAAAGTCCATGAGAATGTTATATACCCCTTCTTTCAACTGTCTCCCTCCATGAGAATTTTTCTCTTTTGCAGGATGTCACCTTAATGTCTGCAAGCAACAGGCACTGCAACTTTCAGAGAGTTCAGAAATTTATATTTCTTTTTTTTTTGCGCCAGCAGGGAAGCCCTCTTTTTTTTTTTCATGGACCCTTTCATAGAATATTACAAACAGGTGATGTCACTCTTCCTTGGGAATCCATTCATTGGTTCTCTGCAGGCTTTTTTTTAAAATTGAAGTATAATTGATTTACAGTGTTGTGCCATCTCTGCTGCACGGCAAAGCGACTGAGTTATACACATACATACATTCTTTTTTTATATTCTAGGGTTTTTTTAATAAATATTTTAGAACAGTTTTAGACTTGCAGAATTATTGTGAAGACTTATATACTTATAAGTACTTATAAGTACTTATATACTTATATATATTTTCCCTATTATTAACATCTTAGATTAACACATTTGTCACTATCAATGGATTAATATAGATATAGATTATATAGATATATAGATATAGATTAGATATAGATTAATATAGATATCTTTATTAACTGAAATTCATACTTTATTGAGATTTTCTCAGCTTTTCCCTAATGTCCTCTTTCTGTTCCAGGACCCCATCCAGGATGTCACATTACGTTTAGTAGTCATGTCTCCTAGGCTCCTCTTGGTTGTGACAGTTTCTTAGACTTTCCTTGTTTTTAATGACCTTGACAGTTTTGAGGAGTACTGGTCAAGTATTTTATATAGTGTCCCTCAATTGCGATTTGTCTGATATTTTCTCGTGAAAATATCACGACTGAGGTAATGTGCTTCTGGGAAGAAGACCAGTGAGCAAAGCGCCGTTGTCATCACATCACAGCAATAGTGCATGCTGTCAGGATGACTCCTCACATTTGATGTTAACCCAGATCACTTGGCATCTCCACTGTAAAGTTACTCCTTTTTTCTCCTTTCTATAGTGTACCCTTTGGATGAAAATCACTATGTGCAGCCCACACTTAAAGAGTAGGAGTTATACTCTACCTCTTTAGGGGCTGAGTATCTATATAAATCATTTTAATTTCTACACAGATTTGTCTATTCTCTATTTATACAGTCTTTTATTTATATCAATTTAGACTTACATTTATTTTATACTTTGGCTTATAGTCCAACACTACTCCATTTATTTTGTTGCCAGATTGTTCTAGCTTTGGCCATTGGGAGATCCTTCAGTTGGCTGTTTGACATCATTGAGGATTTTTTTTCATTTGTTTTGTTCTGTTTCTGAGCATTTTCTTCCTGGCACTATAAGATGCTCCAGGATCATTTTGTGTATATCCTGTGCCAAACCCAGAATCAGCCATTTTCCCAAGGAACCCTAGTTCCTTTTTATTGGAAAATGGTATTAGAAGCCAAGATCTGGGGCCAGGTGTGTCCATTGCTATTGGGGTGGTGTTGCTTCTAGCTCTTCTCAGCTGACAGAGCAAGGAGATACATACAGGTGTATACTGTTCCTATACATAACTGTCTATGTCTGTATTAAGCTAAGCATGAGCTCATTCTGATGTCTTCAACTCTAATCCATTACCACATGGATCAGTTCTGGCCTCCTCCCTTGCTCATCTGTAACCTCTGGCCTCCACCATCTACCATCCATTTACTCAATTGTTCAATTCCAATGGACAGGTATAGTGGTTTCAGAATTGTGAACCCATACCCCTGTGGGAAACAACATTATTAAATAGGGTACAGTGCTTAAACAACAGTTCCTGTTGCCTTTAGTCTTACAGACTCCATTCACTCCTGAAGTTACGTAGGTCAGTACCTTATTCCCCCACCACCTTCAGCAAGGTTGTTTTGCACATTTGTACTACATTTAGATTCTTGTGTCACATTCTGCCTACCATCCTGGATCCCTCAATCTCCTAAGTGATTTTTTTAACACATACATTTTTTACATATATTAAGGTTTACTCTTTGATCTGTAAAGTTCTGTGGGTTTCAACAAACGCTTAATGTCTTG